CCAAAGCAAATCGCAGTCCGACACAGCCATTTTCTGCTCCAGTTCCTTTCGGGCCTCCCATTCCAGCCTCCCATCGGAGGACACACGAAATGAGGGGGAAGGGCGTCGGTCCCCAACGAGCGCCACTCTGTCTGTAAACGGCCACGAATTGCCCACGGGTTTGGCGCCGAAGCCGATTTGGCGAGCTCTCCGCGTCACTGATTTGAATGTCGTCTCCAGGATGCCAGGCTGGAGCAGGCGGGCGAGTCCTGCGGCATTTCCGATTCCGATACGAGACGCGCGAGCCGGGGCACAGGCAGCGACCGCCAGCCACGGCCGGACGAGGCCGGGAACACGCACCTCGCCTCCAAACGGAAAGGAAACATTCCCCGAGCGGGCGGCCCGGCGTCGGACCTCGCGTCGGACACCAGTGTAACAGTGTAGTAACAGCGTGTAAGTCGCCCCGACAGTCGGCCGGCACGCGCCGACCAAATCCACCTTGTTTTTCCGGTGTAGCCGCGCGGTGTCCGCGGGGGGCGTGCCTCGCCGTGCCGACGGGGGAACGCGCCGGATTGTCCGCGATTGCCGGATTCCAGCGGCGACGTCTTCCTCCTCGCTCCCTCCGCCTCGTCCGCCGGCGTCCCCGTCTCCGTCGCGCAGTACCTGATCCTCTCCAATCCCCGGCCCCGCGCGCCGCGTCTCGCCCGGAGGATCCGGAGAGGAACAGGACGGACTCCGGCACGGCGGCGTCGCCCGGAAGGCTTTGGGGCACTACGGCACTGGGGCCCCGTCATCGGCCGGGGAATCCATCTTCATCCCCCACGCTGCCAAGGTGCTATACTCTCTCGCACTCCGCCAGGGCACCGTAAGGGTTGGAGTTGCTGCCTTACGGACGCCCCCCGTGTTCAAGGCAGGCAGGGCAGCAAGGGCGGTGTACAGCAGCGCTACAAAGAAGCCCTCGCCTTTGTCTTCCCTTTTTCGTCGTCGCGGTGCTCGCTGCTTAGCTCTTGACAAGCAACCCCGTGGAGGAGAAAGGGACGAGGGGGGCGGAGATGAGAAAGCTCCCGTCTCTCTCGCACTCGCGGGGCGCCGCGCAGGGGTGCGAGGGAGACAGAGCGACAATGTCTACAACGGCCCTTCTCTCGAGTCTTCCCTCTACTCGTGGCGCATGGGAAAGGGCCTTGCGGAGTCTGCGAGTCTGCTGAGCTCAGCGGGCAGGCCCGGCAGGCCCGGCAGGCCGATGCCCGGGGGCGTTGGACGCGCAAAGGCGGCAAGGGGAGGGGTGGCGACGACGTGTGTTTGCCGACGGGGACCCCAGGCCCAGCCAGGCCCAGCCAGACCCAGCCAGACGGCAAGGCCAAGTCGCTGCATCTTTGGGCTGCGCAATGCGAGGCGCAATGCGTACCCACGCCGCACCGGCATTCCCACCCTCGGGGCAAACGCAAACAAAGTACAGTGTGCCACACGCGGCAGGTGAGGCGACCGTGGCGGCCGGGCCCTGCACCGCCTGCACAATGCACTCGCAGCGCCACCAAAAGGCGACACGCACTCATTCCGGTGGTGGAGTGTTTGAACCCGCGACCCGGCGGCGGAGGAGCGCAGCAGACGCCAGCGCTGTTTTTTTCCACTTTGCCGATGCAGCCAACCACCACCGGGAGGAAGGTTCGGAGCAGACAATCCAGCCCTCCGCGGCCATCCGCGGCGTGGAATGGAAACCGGTCCGCTAGTCCGGCGTGGCGTGGCGTGGCGCGGCGTGGCGTGCTGGTGTTCGCACGTCGCGGCTTCGCGGCCACCGCTCCGTTTTCGCTGGTGTTTTCGCGGCGTGGTCGCCCGCTTCTCGGAAAACGGCTGCCGAAGCCCGAAGGCCGGTCGGCCCGGACGGCAGCGCGACACCGCTGTGGACACCGCGCGGCCCGCGGGATGTCTCCGTCTCTGTCGCGCCCCTACGGCACGCCGGCACGGCCCTGGCGTGCGAGAGAGACGGAGCGACCGGCCTGCACAGCCCAGCAGCAGCCCAGGCACGCGGTCGTGGACGGTGTGTGCAGTGTAGGTGCACTCCCCAAACCTGCAGGGATTCCCATGCAGAGCAGTGCGGCAGCCTGCCAGCTTGACTGCCGGCATGACGGCGCTGGAGAACGGCAAGGCGATGCGGCGGCGGGGCGAGCGCGCGCTCAAAAAGCAAACTTGATAATTTTTTTCCCACCGTCGACACGACAAAACGGCGCGACCGCAACCGTCGACTACTAGTGTGACTAACGGAGTGACTCAGGCCGTGCCGTCGGCCCGCCACCGCGTCCCGCCGCTCCGCGCCTGGTCGTCCGCTCGCTGACAAATCCTCGCACCTGCGGCAGCCTGGACAGGCCCTGGACAGGCCCTGGAGCCTCTGGACAGGAACCTAACGCGCCTCGGGCCTCGGGAGCCGCTCCATCCCGTTAGCGCTGTGTGATCGGCCGGCAGACTCATTCCGAAGAGACGTTGTTTCGTCGCCGGTGTCTCTGTCGCACTCGCGATGGCGCCAAGGCACAGCCATTTCGAGCAGTGTGTCGCCGCTGTCTCTCTCGCACTCCTGCCGGTACGCCCCCCGAGTGCGAGAGAGACGGAGCGAGCTGCCAATCACGGACACTGTCAACCCGGTGCGGCTTTTAGGCTTACGGCGACTCGCGTAGCTTTTCCTCGGAAAGGCTGAGGAGCCGGGCGGCGGTGCTCGAACCGTGAACCCGCGCCGACCGCTAAGTGCGGTGTAGGGGTCCAGCCGGCGCCCGCCTGGTCCTGGTACAGTACTCGACAACGCGGCGCCGAAGCCGAAAACATCGGGCCGTAGTAGCGGGTTCAAACCGTGCTGCATACCCGTTACGGCTTCGGGCTGCCAGGGGGCGAGAGGGGCGAGAGGGGCGCGGGTTCGAGTACACGTGCCGCCGGCTGGCCCAGCTGGCCTTTTTGTGGCGGGACGCTGAGTGCCCTTTTCTCGGTGTTTTGATATATTTTCGGAGGGCGGCGGCGCCGTGGCAGCGCTCGGGAAAGGGCTCGCATCTTTTATAGCTTCTCCGAAGGGGGCGTGTGTGGGGTGCGGTGGGGGTGTGGGGGCGGGGTGTGGGGTGGGAGGCGTGGGTCTCACCGATCCCTTACCGGTGGTTGCGGCCTGCGGGGCTGCGGGGCCAAGCGCCATACCCATAATCGTGCTCGGCGGTCATTTTCCGATCCCCGGCAAATTGATTAGCCCGGCCCACGCTCCCAGCAACCCTGACGGTAACCCCGAAATCACCAAGGAGACGCGCAGGCAGGCCAGGTAAACCCTCTCGTTGGAGGGGGCCGGCACAGCACGGCACAGCACGGCCCGGCACGCCTCATATTGTTCCGACATGTTGACACCTCGTTAGGACAAGCCGGCGATGTTTTGGCGCCTCACCTCCACCGGCGGGCCGGCCGGGTGCTGAGTACTTGCTCCTGGAGATCTTCACCGGCCGCGCGCGGCGACGCCGGCGACGCGGGGTCAGGTCCAAGGATGCTAAGCAGCCCAAGCCGCAGTCCAGCCGCCGGCCTGCAGCTGCAACGAGCTGCAGCAGGTGTTGCAAGGCGGCTGCAGGGCTGCAGGCGGTGCAACTGGTCCTGTCACTCGCGGCGAACCTGCCGACCTGCCGTCGGCGTCCCGTTCACGACACCGCCGGTCCTGGACGAACCTGGAGCGAAGTTTTAATCCCAAGTGCTGCTGGAACGACGACACACACACACTAGCACACTGACACGTCACTGGCACTGCACTCGCGAGGACGACAAGCACTCGTCCTTGTTGTTTCGCGTCCGCAACGTGCGCTTACACCGACCGAGCTGTGCGCTACGCCTCGTGCTTCTCGCGCTCCTTGAGCTTCTTCAGCCACTGGCTGTCTTCGCCTTCGCCTCGCTTCGGCTCGGGCCGGACCGGACCGGAGCCACTCTTCACTCGCCGCCAGCGGCCCGAAGCGCAGCCGAAGCGGAGCCGAAGCAGAGCCGAGCGAGGGGCGGCTGTTTCCGAGCGAGACCACTCGGCCGAAGGGGAACTGAGGGGCGCCGAGGGGTTGCGGTGAGGAGGAGGGGAGGGGGCTGGGAAGAGGAGGGGGAAGCCATCTAACATGCGTCGTTTTCTTACCTCACTCATCACCCCTTCCCCCTTCCCTTCCCATTTGGATTCTCCAGGCCTCCAGCAAACGCCGCGACTTCGCTCTCGCTCCAGCTCCAGAGCGACCTGGAGGTCCTGGAGGTCCTGGAGGTCCCGGAGGGCGTGCGAAGTGGCGGTGCAGCAGCCGCCACACCTGTCCGTTCCGGACGCAGCCCCCGCGAGTAAGAGGGCAGAGGGGCGGATGGACGATGGTCGCGATGTCGCGAACGCGTGCGCGCTTCGTGGCACTGCGCTGCGACGAGCCATGGCGATGGCTAGGTGCGGCTGAAGCCGTGTGGCTCGGTGACCTGGGCGTGACCCTGCTTGGCGTGCCCCCGATGCAGGGGCACGCTCGCGACCCTCGTGACTGGTGCGACACCCTCGGCGGCGAGGTTCGGAGGCCTAGATTCAAGATCCGCGCCGTGTCGTTGTCGCAATGTGACACGCCATGAGAAGCGGGCCAACATCGGGCCGGGGTCGGGTCGGACCCCTGGCTGCCCGTGGGTGCCCAGGCTGCCCCTCGTGTAGCCGAGTGACCTTGTGACGCGCTTTGAGCAGTCCATGGGGCCCCAGCCAGCCAGAGCCAGCCAGGAGACTGATTCCGAGAGTCCCTTTCGTCGCGCTGTCTCTGTCGCACCCATGGGGAGCCGTGTGTGGGTGCGAGAGGGACAGAGCGACGAAAGGGACTCTCGGAATGAGTCTGCAGCCTCCGTGCCCCGCGCGGCAATGCGCGGCAATGCGCGGCGCCGTGCCCTCTGACCTTCCCTGCTTCCTCCCGTCCGTCGCCGCTACGCTGCGGCCGCTGCGGCCACGTTGAGGCGAGGCGGGCGAGGCTTCGAGGCGCGGGGTATCGCCGCCCCGCCCCGCGCCGCAGCCGCACCCACGCCCTGCGCACAGCGCTTCCACTACCTGCGAATAACGATCGGGTCGTCGTCTGCTTGGCTGGTCCGCTGTTGCTGTCTGCTTGGGAGAGCTGAAGAGTTGCTGAGTCCCGTTCCCCCTGTCAGTTGGCGAGGATCGGCCCGGCCGCGCTCGTGAATCGGCGTAAGTTTATTCTGCCAGCTAGAGTCATTCCCCAGGAAGTTCAAGGATCAAACTTGCGTGCCGTGTCTGAGGTCCTGGGTAGAGGGGCATTGTTTTTCTAACCTTGTTGCTCTGTAGTTGATGTGTATCTGATGACCCCCCCTCACCTTCAGCACCAGTTTCTGATGAAATATGGACTTACTTGTCTCCTTACTGTTGCAGATTGCACTAGTTGCTGGAACCGCAACCATGGCCAAGGCTTCTGTTTCAGATGACTGTATCGATATGGTAACACCCTGGAATGAATACCTAAGTGCCAAATACAAACGGTAACACGTTTTGTCAAGATTTGTGATAGTTGTCAGTTTTTAAAATTTGAGACCAGTCACTTCATCTCTTTTCCGTGTTGCAGGAGTTTTGCTTATCATACAGTGCGTAACCGACTGCCTGTTACTGTGACTCAGGTTATCGACCATTTATCTCGAAGCAAAGAGGCCTTAGTACAAACCTACGGTGAGGTATGTTTGCTGGCGCTCAACTCGCAACATATCATCTTAACATTTTGTATTCTGATGTATCTTTTTCTAAACTTTTTTTCAGGGATCACGAGAAGAAATTAAACAGATCATTGGCTATCTTTCAAAGCTGAAAAATGAAATGCAAACAAACAAGCCACTTATTTCCTTAGAAGCTAATGAAGTTGATGCTTCTGATTGGAACAATTTTTTAAATACCACTGAAGAGAGACTAGGTAAGACAGAACAATATTTGCTTGTCAGTTTCTTTTCTTTTTGTTTAGTATAGCTATTAAATAATAAAATATGTTCCCTCAGGTCGACCACTTTTATGGTTTGCTGATGTGTGGCTCCATATTGAATGCTATCTTTACCGAAGGATCAGAGAAAGTTTTGCGTTGACGTAAGTTATTGACTTAATGTACCGTTTGCTAAAGCTAACTTTCAGTGACACTAAAATTAATTACACTGGTCTCTAGAAAGCACCTCAACCAATACGATCCATTTCGGCATCAAAAGGAGGAAGCATTCACTGGATCTCTGCAGGCCATCTCTGTTGTTGGCAGCTACTTGCTTAAGCTAATTGAGTCTGATGCTAAAATTGACACAGAACAATGTGTTTTGCAGTTTCTCAAAGTATGTATTTATTATCTGTTAGCCTTGAAATTCGAGTATTTTTATTCTGCCCAAGCAATTATTATTTATTCTTTGATTAATTGTTACCGACAGCTCTCTCTTTGGGGTAACCGGTGTGATCTTTCCATTTCTGGTGGGAAGGACATATCTCAAGTTGAAAACCCTCTTGATATGATCTCCACTCTTGATGAATTGATACTTGTCAATGACCTACAAAAAGTCTGGTCAGCGTTAAATTCAACTTCGTCTGGACCAAAAATAATTGGTATGTACTAAAATTTTAATTTTTTTTTTAAATTATGTGATATCAGCAATGGGTGAACTTACAAATTCTCTATGTAAATGAATTTTACAGATATAATTTTTGACAACTCTGGCTATGAGCTGTTCTCAGACTTATGTCTAGCTCATCTTTTAGTGAAACTGGGATTAGCAAATAAAATTAGATTCCATGGAAAGAGAGTGCCTTGGTTTATATCAGATGTGATGGAACATGACTTCCATTGGCTGATCCAGGAGATGGCCAACCAAACAAGAGCACCTTGCTTATCCAAGCTGTCAACTATGTGGAAAGACTTCTTAAGTTCTGGTTTGTAATTTTCTCACATTCATTAGTTAATATAATTAAAAAATAAAATTCAATAGTAACAAACATGTTTCTGTTCACATCAAATTCAGGTACCTGGACATACTTAACTGAGTCCTTCTGGACCCTGCCATATTCGTATGATGCCATGAAACAGATTGACCCAGAGTTGTACAACAGTTTTGAAGGATCAAAGCTGTTGATTTTCAAAGGTGATCTCAACTATCGCAAATTAGTTGGAGATGTGTTCTGGCCTCACACTGAAAAATTTTCTGTTGCTCTGAGAGGGTTTGAACCAGCTCCTCTTGTTACTTTGCGCACAATTAAGGCTGATGTGGTAGTTGGTCTGCAGCCTGGACAGGCAGAGAAGGTGGCTCAAAAAGACACAGACTGGCTTGTGACAGGAAAATATGCGGTTGTGTCATGTTTAGTTAAATAATCCAGTTGTTTGGAGCTGTTAAGATCAACCAATTTTCCTTTAGCTTCCATTCCTCTTTTAATCGTTTTTATAATGTAGCATACAATGTACAGAAATCTATTTTAATTAAAGTCAAACCATTAAGAAATACAATTTCCTTTCGACTTTGTGGTGCTGTGATACTCAGCACACACAGTTTCATTTATTTCAATGTCACATTGAGAAACACTTGATATTTTTTTGTTAAAAAAAGACAGAGCTTTGTGGCTCAACTTGATTGTGACTAGAGATGTAAGTAATAATCGAATTACAAGAGAAGCATCCTGTCAAAGGATAATTAACAACATAACAGAGGACATTCCATAAATTCTAATAAAAATTCTAAAACATCCTTTAGCATCAAAATGTACAACAATCAAAGAAATAAAAAGCTGTTATGAACATGGCTTTGACACATAGCGTTTGGAAAGGAAGACACTCACTCAAAGAAGTAACATTTTTTTAGTAAATGAGAAAAATCAAAACAAAGACAGTCTTATTTTTCTTTGACATAGTATTGGAGGGCTAAAAATTCTATTTGTACTCTGTTATGGAATATCATGGAACAAGTAGAATTAGAACAATCAAAAGAAAGGTTTTTCATTAACCATCAATGGGTTTTGGGGCAGAGGGCTGAGCAAGGTCTGTTCTGAAATACAAGCACAATTCGGTGAGTTTTTTCATTTTGTCTGTGGTTATGGGACCGCTTAGAAATTCGGCTATGTATTTATACTGTTCACTTGATTTAGGAATTTTCTTGGCTATTTCTTGAAGATCAAAACCACGCATAAAGTCAACTAAATGAGGGGAAAAGTTTTCTGTCAGCATACTGGGTAAGTGGATATCATAGTAGATGTAGATCTGAAGGGAAAGAGACATGATTTAGATAATGAATGCCTTCTTTAAAAAAAAAGCAAAAAGTAAAATTTTAAAAATCTGTTCCTACTTTGTTATTAAATGTAGCATATACAAGAACAGGAATCGATGGTTTAGAGCTGTTTGGTTCCAATGTATATTTCCCAGAACAGAATCCAGATACTGTCTCTTCCAACTGGAAACGAACACTATGTTTCTCCAAATCCAAAATGTACGTTTGCCCATCCCAGGAGCAGACAACAATTTCATCATGGCCATCCCCAGTAATGTCTAGCTTTGTCACAGCAAATAACTGATGATCTACCTGGAAGGACCTACATGAAAGAGTAAGGAATGGTGTCAATAGATAAATTGGGTAAAAGCCTGAGAAGAAAATAAATTGTAGAAAATTGAAAAGGCAAATCTCAACATACCACAAAATGTCATCATTGTGAACCAGCATCAATGTACCATCCAGTGTTGCAACAGCGAAAGGAGATCCATTGTCATCTTTGCGGCCAGTCTCAATATCACCCAGAATCTCAGTTGAAACATTAGGGTTTCTCATGCTGTTTATGCATAGAGGGTGATAATCAACAGATGTTTCACCAAAGGCGTTGGATCTGTTTTAAAATTATTGACATTGAGCTGGTGAACTTCAAAACCAAGCAAAGGCAAAGTTTTTACAGAGTGCAGTTCCTTACCTGCTGCTATCTTCCAAGTCGTTTATTTCAGTCCTATCAGAGTCAGCATAGCAACGAATTCTCATAAAAGTGCCTCCTGGCTGGGCAACCAATAGACTAGGCTTGCCTCCTGCTTGGTGGTTCAGAGTTACTGCACCTAGCTGGTGAGCAAACTCCCATTTATTTAAACACACCAAAGCTCCTCGTCCAGCTAAAGAGCCGACACTTGTTTTAGCAAATGCCAATATGGTCTCTCTAGCCATAGGAGCTCCAATCCAGCACCAACGGTATGACCGGACAACACGATCTGTCAGTCCTAAAACCAGTTCCTGTTGCCCATCATCGTCGATGTCTCCCAAGAGAAGCACCTGCAAAAGTCAAAACCCAGTTTGCATAAACATTCACTTGCAGATCAAGTTTATGATCATATAATTTGCTTGGCAAAATACTCACCTTAGTATTAGCTGGAATTCTCTGTATATGCACACACTCCAGCTTAGCACTGCCTGCAGGGCAGAGGTAAATATAGCACCAACCGTCTCCACAAACGATGACAACAGCATTTAGGCCACAGTTGAGGATGTCACCTACACCCACTGCTGTGATCATACCCAGGCCATTGATTATTTGCCATTGTTTATCACCCTAGAAGGTTTAACAAAGAAACAAGAAATATTAAATATGGTATTTAAAGTGGAAAATTCCTTTAAATTAGTGATTCAGTTGTAAGCTTCAATGCATAATCAGACTGAAGCTTACAACTGAACCAATGCAGGAAGATCTAAAAGAATTTTACCTTGAAGACAGCTAGGTCTCCACTTGCATTCCCTGCAACCAGTGCCATTTCACCAGTGTTGTCGACATCTCCAAGAGTGAGAGAGCTGCGAAACACATTGCCTCCAAACTCAAACTCCAAGCGGTTCACAAAGCACACAGCACGCATCTTGACGTTGTCTTTGTACTAATTTAAAATATAACTCTAATGTCTTAGATCTCACTTTGATTGGCAGGCTTACACTCAGAGGAAAATTCATTAAAAATCTTTTTCCAGCGAGAAGGAGGCCATATGATATAAAAGGCTTTCGATTGAAGAAGTGACTTGGGAACTGGCCCAAACTGCTGCGAATCTATGGAGAGGCCTTTGTTATCTCCTTCGACCCAGTAATGGCCCAACGGGACGGTGATTAAGCTGGTAGAAGCCCCGTCACTTTTCACTACGGTGTCGCCTTCCAAGCCAATGACTCTCTTGATAAAGAGGGCGGAAGGATCTTTTGGCGGAATGAAAGTGACTACATCTCCTCGGTGGATCTCACACTCTCCGACATCTCTCACATACACCCAGTCATCACATTTGCTTGAGTACGGATTCAGACACGGATGCATGGATCTCCCGTTCACTTTAAAGACTCTGACCTTAAAGAACTTGTCGCCTTGAAACACCAGTGGGTAAATGAGCACTGCTGTAGTGACGGCCACCTGAATTATGCGGCCTAGAGCTGCTAACGACCGCCATGGCATGTATCAAAGACAACACTTCTCTCCTTTAGGGGGACGAGAAAACGCGCCGACTGGGGAGATTCTCTCGATTTGGAAAGAACTCTCCCGCAAAGTACAAAGGTTGACACTCTGCAGATTTGAGAAAATAGCCCAGGGCCAGGGTTGTATGGGTCGTAGGTTAGGTTAGGATTTTGGTGTTTTGTTCGTCTGCTGGAATAGTGGGCTGTGACCACTATTCACACGACAAACGGACAAACTATTTGCAGATGGACAAGGCCTTGTTCACTGGCACGTCCTTCTGGTTCAGAGTCCTGACGATGAAGGAACTGGCGTTGCGGCTGCTGCAGTTTGTTCCGGACTAAGCATTGAACGTTTCTTTGCGTCGAACGACCACGCGGTGGCGTTCTGCCGTTCTGGCGGTTCGAACTCCCCGCCAAGTCGTAGTTCCCGCGCCTCCCACGTGACCGACCCAGGGGGCACCTCGTTTCCGGTTGGCGCTCGTCGTGGCAGCCCAGGCAGCGCGCCTGCAAATCGTGCTTCCGCCGTTCAATTGGAACTCAGCTGTAGAGGGAGCCTGCAGAGTTTCAGTGTGTTGGTTCAACCGCAGTGAGGAAAGATGGCAGAATCCGAGCCAAAATTTAGTGGGGCCGAGTATTTCGAGGGAGTGGAAAAGCTGCTGGAAATCTGGTTCACGCACACGGACGGCAAGGCCAAAAACTGCGACCTGCGGTCCATTCCGAGGTATGTCCTTTCCAAAGCTCGCTCAGTTCCCTGGTCCCCCAGGATCAGCTGCGGGCTTAACCCCCCAGCCACCCTTGTAACTGTCACTGCGAACGCGGGGGCGGAAGACTGGCCTGTCAAAACAGCCGTTGTGATCGTGCAGCCGTCGCGACGCGCCCTCCACGTTCTCCGAATCTGTCGATCATCGAACCTTCCAGAAGAAATGGTGGCACTTTCCATACTTCGGCGTCCTAACCCTGTTACCTTGAGCAACCCCCCGACCGAGCCCACCCCCAATGTCAAGGTTCTTTCTAAGGGTGGAAAGTGAGAGTCGCATTTTGGGGCTGCACGGGCGAGACGCTGTCATGCGACGGCCGCTTGACGGGCAGCTCTTAGCACGCGTCGTCTGCTAGCGGACACACGTTGCAATAAGGGTGCGAGATGCAGGGAATTATGAGTAATACTCTATTTTAAATTAGTGTGGGTTAGCCAACACACGTCAGTTGGCTCAAGGTCTTTCATGCCAGAGGGCAAACAACATTTTCAGCCTTTGCCAAATCTTGCTAAGCGCCTCAAACTGGTTTGATGAAGCTGATGGTGGACTTTTTTTTCTATTCTTTTTCTCTATTTTTGTCTTTAACCTAAAAGAACAGATGGGAACACATTCTGCTTTCTCTTAAATTCTCCCCTGATGAAAGTGTTGTATTATTTCCCAAGAATGACCTGTGGTCTTTCATTCTTTATCTTGAAAGTATTGGTTTGTGTCCAAGTAATTTAAACTTAAAAATAAAAAATAATAAAAAAAATAACAATTTTGTTTTTCTGTTTTAGGAACAAATGGGAGAGCTTGCTGCAGATTGTGCACTGTGAAGTTATCAGCTTCTCCAGTAATGAACTTGTTGATGCTTACGTCTTGAGGTCAGTTGATACAAATGATAGTGAGATTAAATTTCAACTGCCTCTAGTGTAATCCTGTTGAGTTAACCTTTTTTTTTCTTCTTCAAATTTCCAGTGAAAGCAGCATGTTCATCTCAAAGAATAGATTCATCTTGAAGACCTGTGGCACCACTACCCCTTTGCAGTGCTTGGAACCTCTCATCATGTTGGTGAATCAACATGCTGGATTTAATTCCTATGAGGTTTGTAATGGGGTCTTTTAGCTGATGCTGGTGTAGGGTCCTAATACCCATACTAATAAAAAATTTCCCCTTGTAGGACGTTTTCTATTCCAGAAAGAACTTCAAGCGTCCCGACCTGCAGAAATCCCCTCACAGAACCTTTGATGAAGAAGTTGAACTTTTGAATGCAATTTTTAAAGGCAAGTTTTGACATTTTCTCCTACCAATTTCAAATCAATCAATTTAAGAACAAATATTAAATGATAATTATTCTATTTTCAGATGGCTCCTCCTACTGTCTTGGTGAAGAAGACTCTGAATGTTGGTATTTGTACACTCTTCATCCAAACAATGTTCCTCAGTTGGCCCAACCTGATCAGACTTTGGAGATTCTGATGTCAGATCTTGACCCCAAGGTTATGAGCCTTTTTACCAAAGCCAGTTCATCTTCAGCCTTGGAAGCAACAAAGGTATTCTTAATTTTAAGAGGGGTATCAGCTTCTGTTGCATTTTTAGTCAATACTGTCAAAACTGACTTCTTAAAATTATTTTCAGAAATCTGGAATAGATAAACTCATTCCCAACATGCGCATTGATGATTTCCTCTTTGACCCTTGTGGCTATTCCATGAATGGGATCACCAAGTCTGTGAGTATTATAATGAAACATTCCAGGCTTCCTCCATTTGTAATGTATCTTCATGGTATTGATTGGCTTAACTTTCTTCAGGGATATTATATGACTATTCACATAACACCAGAGTTGGAGTTTTCCTACGTCAGCTTTGAAACCAACATCCCTCAATCATCTTACAAGGATGTCATCTCACGTGTGATTGAGACATTCAAGCCGGGGAAGTTTGTGGTCACTATTTTTGCTAATAAGGTAAGAAGATCAAAAGTTTGTCTCTTATTCTCATGTTCAGCCCATTGCACTTTCTAATTTTGACTAAATATTTTTTCTTCAGGCCTCTCCTGCTTCGGCCTCTACTCATGAAATGCAAAAGCTCTCCCGTTTTGGGCCATGGATGCAGCGCGACATTCAGTTCTGCCGCCTCAACAACTACGACTTGACCTACACTTTCTACTCCAAATTCCCTAGCTGAGATTTTCTGTTGGCTCGCCTCAGGCCTGCAAAGGCCTCGCGGAGCCCCGTTCTATCAATTAGTTTAATTTCCTCCAATGTAACACTACCTCTCTTTGTGTGCTTTGCATTTGTTTTAAATTATTCACCTCTCGTAGCATTCATGGCCACCCTGCTGTTGGTCCAGTGGATGTGTCACAACGCATATATACATAGATATAGAAAAATGTATTACATGTGGTATGAGAAAATTTCATGAGAAAGGGCTTTGTTTGAATTTAATCCTTTAGCAAATGGATATGTTGTGTGTCCTCATAGTTGTTCCTATCTTGTTAAGTTTGGTTCAGAGTTGATTGTCGCAAGCTTAAGTTTAATTAGATGACATTTGCACGTTGGAAAGGTTGTGCCTCATAAATATGAGCCAGTGCCTTTTCAACCTAGCTGATAAAATTATTTTCCATTGACATTTTAGAGGATAGTCCAAATTTTATTGGTTGATTGTTGTTAGTTTCCTCATTAGTATGGTGACAGCCTGTGCTTTTTGCAGGCTGTCCGTTCAGTTGTTTCTGCAATATATATATATATTTTACTTAATTGTTGTTCTTTGTCACATAGCAATCTTATCTCACAATACTTTCTTGACAAAGTCTTTTCAAGTTATATAGTAGGGTGAGTTTGTTGGTTATCAGATAAGCTGTGATGCAATTTAGGCATTCCAATTGATCTTCCTTCAGTACTACGAACGGCTACTTAACTAGTGCCAGTTTGTGGGAGAGAGAGAAAGAGAGCAATCTTAGCTGCTGTTTGGAGTGTTGTGCATATGCTTACCCTTTCATATTTCTCTCCTGTTGAATTGCATTGTTTGAAGTTGTTCTTCCCTTATATTGTGTTTGGAACAAGTGTTTATTTTTTTTTGTGGCACAACATTGCTTGCAACAATAGGTGCTGCCCTCTTTTTATTTTCCCTCCAGGCATTGGTTTCTGTCAGCAGCTGGCTCTTAGTAGATGACTGTATTTTTATTGATGACTTGTCTAGATGTACTAATGGTAACCTGAAGTTGTTGAAAGTACCTGTTAGTTCTTTTTAATTTGCTGTCTCTCAATTCGCTCAAGAATTCTGGGTTTTACTTCTTCATAACTTTAAAAAAAAATTAACAAGTTTAATCTCTCCTCTTTCTGCAAACTACACCACTTGGCCCTTTAAAAGTAAAATTGGTGAAGAAATCTTGAGCTCTGTCTTGGAGGCTGCTTAAAAGAACTTGCCAGATGCAGGGATGTCTTCCATGCCAAGCTGTATGTGTGGAACCTGCTCTGCCTTTGACATTGTGTGTTTTTTTAAAACCTTTTTTAACTTCTCAAGAATTATGCAGTATTTCGTAGTCATTTTATTTTGTGATAGTTCAATTTAAGACTAAGTGAGCTTTGTCAATTTCGAAATTTAATGATTATGTTCAGGTCATAGATCTGACAGTAACTGATGACATGCTCTGTGATTTATTTTTTCCTCCCTTTAGTTTATGGTTTAGTTGCTTTTGGCAACTCCACTTTGTGATTGCATTTTTTGTGTGTTAAGAAATATGTTGGCTCAACAGAGCTCTTGACATTTTTTCTTTTCACCCTTAGGCAAAACTTAATTTTGAAGCCAGAAAATTAGGCTCCAAGCGCTTACTGGTTTACATTAAACCATAGGTTATCTTGTTTAATGCTTAGTTAGATCCTGTTGTGAAGCTTGTTTTCAACAATTGTGCTACTGACATGTTAATTAAACTCATGTTCTGGTAGTCCTAGATTTCTTGTGATCTGACAAGGAGGCTTGATGCAGTCCCTCCCTCTCAGCATTTGATTTGTTAGCTGAGTTTAATTTTATGGTGTCTTATGCTCACCATAAATTCAAGCTGTAGGAAATTTAAATGTGCTTATCAAGTGCATACCATTTCTCTGAATTTCTCACTTGTTAACATTTTTCTATATCATTGTTTATGTGCGCCTCTGTATCATGAAGTTGTTTGTTCTGAATAGACCTTGTGATAGTACAATTTTTAGTCTGGTTTTAATCTGATGAATTGCTTTTCTCTGGAGAAATAGGGATTTAATTTGTCAAGTGCTTAGTCATGAAAGATTGGAAAACCAATGCAATAAGAACGCAAGACTTACTCTGTGCCATTTTCTTTTACTTTTTTTTTTAAAAATAAGTGTCCTTTCTAAGTGGGCACAGACAACTGAATAATGTTGTTATGTGAGTGTTGTTTGATCTATCAAATCTGATAGAATGATGGGAACTGGCTCAATAGTTGTAGTTAACAGAACTTCAGCTACTTCCTAGTTTGATGACCCAAGTTTGGTTCATGAAGTGCTGAAAGAATTGCAGGCGCACAGAGAGGTAGAATTACTATTTTTGTCACTAACACTTCTCTTCTACCTCAGTTCTAACTTGCTCACAGAATATATGGAGATGGAATTGAACTGTTTGGTGACCCACCAGAGAACCATGACATATAATCATGTTCTTTTAATTTATTCTAACCTTCTATTCATATAAGTAGCTTTGTTCTTAACTGAGCTACCTTGACAATTAAGTTTCACAAACATGGGGTTCTATCTTTAATGTAGAATTCACATAGCAATCAAGGTGTTAAGCCCCAAGTACATTTCAAATTGTGTACCATTTGCATTCTTGCTTGTTCAGCTCCTCATGTAAAATTGTCTATGTGTATTTTGTAATTAAAGATACATCTGAGAGCAATGTGCTTTTATTTCTCACCTTACATACTAATTATAGAAGATTAGTCAACAAAACAAAATATATTCTTTACAAACAAAACAATTACACAATTTCTGCTGATAGGCATTTCTTTTCTTGGTTTAAATTAAATACTAGTCCTGAAAATCAAAATGAGAGTAAGTAACATCCCTGCATAACGTCATTTACTAAAAATAAAAATTGACACTTGCCATTTTGGATTCATCACAGTCTTCTGCACAATCCATGTTGGTGTCTTGCCCTTTTCCACCTGTTTTACCCTTTCTCCATTTTCCTCGATAGGAAGCTTTCTTGGCCTGAGCAGCTTCCTCAAATTCTTTGATATAAGCTGCCTGACCAGAATAACTGAAAAGAACAAACACACTGGATTGCACTAGGAAAATCATTTTGACAAAGAAGCATCAGGATTGAAAAATGATACCTCTCTGGTCTTTCTATGACATAACTTTCATGAACTTTGATACCCAGGACATCTTCCATCATAAAGGGTTTCAGCCAAGTTACCTATTATTGGAAAAAATTAACAACACATCAAAGAAAAGCATTTTGATAGTTGGTAAAATATCAGCAGTTGCAAACCGTGGTTACACATACTAGGGGTGTGGTTCCATGTTCATACAGATTCTTTTTATGGTAAAACAGCATGCCATCCAGCCCTGGATCTTTGTTCCGTTCCTCCGAGAACATAGGATAACGATTCATCACATTTATCAGGTGATCTTCTGAGCACTCAAATGATTGTAATGGAACAAAAGCATTTCGGTTTTTGTCTGAATGACATGTAACTTCTGGACACTCATCTAGTTTAGTTTTCAACCAGTAAAATCTAAATTCAGTCTTGGAGGGGAAAACATGATGTTAAACAGCATTCATGATTACTATGGTGTAGGTGCCTGATAAACTGAGCTCAGAATAATTACCTCACAGTCAAGCAATTCGATATTGTTCCAGGCTAAAACATCAAGTACGTAATAAGTACGGTTGTCAAAGTCCCAAATACAGTCTAGAATGGTGATGCCCTGGCGAGAAGCACGGTGACCACCAGGTAGGCCTGAGCTGAAAGTGGCGACTACATATCCAGATTTGGTATATGCTTTGGTTGTACCCTGGGTAGCAACAACCATCATTCGTTGACCTTTAGGACAAGGTTTCAGAAGCCAATTTTCTTCCAAATCTGTCGGCACATCAACCAACCACTCAGACAACATCAGTTCATGTCTGAATGTCCATTTCTTTGGCTAGGAGAAACAATTAACAAAATAAGTCACATAAAGTAATATTATTTCAATTTTAGAATTAGCTCATGTATTTGAAACAACTTACAGTAGTTTCTGTAGACTTCTTATGAAGATTCTCGTAGGTTTCGGGTGCTTCGTCATCGCTATCATCCACTGCTTCAAACTCTTTTCGAAGCTGACGTTGTAAGTTGTAAACTTTATCTCGCTTGCTATGAAATAAGAATCGTACTGATACAATATTCCCTGGCACTTAGCATACCGATCAATTTGTTCTAATAACAACGTACCTTTTCTGTCGCTTCAAACACTCCAATCTACGTTTGTCTTGGTCTCCCATCAAACTAGCAGGTTTGCGGAGATGAGCATAGTCTGCAAAATGAGGGTGTGGTTTGTTGGTATCAAAGGGATCAGCGTCCACCTCACAACTGGCACCCAAAGATGCAACGAGTTGATCCATGGAATCAGCCATGGTGTCAGTCAAATGAAACCTGACAGGACAGTAGTCGTCTTCAGCTGTAAACATACACAACTCATCAAGCACTGCACTAAAAACACACTAGACAGACAGAATGCTCGCCCCCTGAAAGTGTTTGATTCATTCGAAGATCATGAACAAACCTGTCCGATACAATGTTCAGTCTCCACGAGCCAACGAGTACTGGCGTGTCATGTCAGTTGGACGGTGGAAGACATGCAGCACACAGCGACCATCCAAAAGCCGCGGCATGCAGCACGAATCTAGCATCACAGTTCTACAAAAACAAACGTGTTTTCGCCGGCGCACCGAGACCAAACACCAACAACCTCGGAAAACGCGTGCGCGCCGTTCTTCTGACAAGTGACAAACGAGGGGAAGGGGAGGGGGAGGGGCAAGGGCGGGAAAGAGCAGGAGGTGCTGCCACCTGGCGACCCCGCGACCACGCTCCGTCTTTGGCGGGAATGTTTGAGTGGGGGGTGGACGGCGGCCTAGGTTCGATGGGTAGGAAAGTGGTTGTCGGTTGACTCAAAGATTGGGCAGGCATCAACCGAAAGCCAAAGTCGCGATCCATTTGCGCCATGTCGACGTGACTCACCGAGACTTTGCACTCGATGCGATTCGTCACGCTGATTCCGTGCCCTGCCGTGCCGTGCCCTGCCGTGCCGTGCCCCGCGGCCAATCCCGGTAGTTTTGCATAAGCGCTATGGTCCAAGGAGCCCGGCACTTACAAAGCCAGGGTGCGGGGCACTGCAAGGCACGTCGTGGAGCGCGGACAGCGCGGACACTTTCCAAAGGATGGAACTGGAGCAATGCGGGGCAATGCGGTGCAATGCAAGCAGCGCGCAGTGACAGCCCCACAATGAAACCCATTCTGCGAGTGCCCGGCTCGGCTCAGCGCGGCTTTGCTACGCCAGGCTCGGCTCGGTGCGCTCCGCTCGTCTGGGTCAACGCACCGCGCCTCGCAAGGGAGAGAGAGAGAGAGGTATGCAAAACGGCAGGCACAGACCTAACATAATGCAAAGATGAGACAATTCGGGCCCGAGCCTGCCCCCAGGCCAGGCCTAGCCAGGCCGCCGGAGCAGGCCCACCTCGCAGGACGCTGACGGCACGGAGAGATTTATTCGTGGCTCATTTGTCCCCTTTCCCTGGCCGGGCTGGCTGGCCGCGGCCCGGGCAAGATGGGCTAGAAGGAATGCCGGGCTGCTGGGCCTTCGCGCCCTTCGCCCACTCGGAGCCAGCAACCCTTTGCTGTGACTTTAGGGGTGGAGTTTAGGCGTCAACTGCCCTCGCTACATGCATCGGGACGGACTCTACTGTGCTCGACGCTGGGCGACACAGCGATAAGCAATCGGAGCGATGAGCTGCCTCAGCCTAACCTTAGGCAACGAACCTTTCCTTGCGGGTCAGGTGGCTCCCCTGGCCGCCCCGCTCGCCCCGCTCGCCCCGCGCGCAAACATGCACCGCCAACAGTGTGGCCAACACACCCCGCGGCCCAAACAAAATGCGTCCCGCCGCGATGAAAAGTTTGGACCCTCACGTCACCTCCTTCGGCGTGACCTTCAACCTGCTGGCTGGGGCCCCGAGGGAGGCGAGGGGGAGGGGGAGGGGGGCTGTGTGAAGAGCAAACCCCTTTATCTGTATCGGAAACCGCGAGCCGAGGGGGAGCCACTCTGGGGTGCGGTGCGGGCCGTGCATGCAGTGCGAGTGTCAACGGAAGACAAGTAGGGGGCGGAGATAGTTTGGCGAGGCTGTGAGTCGCAAAAGACGCAACTCGGTACAGTCTCGAAAGCTGTGACCGGGTCCAAGTCGGAACGGCTGTCGTACGCGAGAGAGTTGTGGTCTATCGGTCACGACGTGAGTCCCCCCTGTTTTAGTAATTTTCCATCTTAGGAAACAGAGTAAAAATATGTCGATAACATTATGTCCACGTCTCCGAAAGCATTGTCTTGCCTCGAGGAAAAAGGTAAAGAACGACAGTGCAGTCACACACATGGCCGCGCGGCGCCGTTTTTTTCTTTTTCTTTTTCAAAACAGTGGTTTGATGCATCTTTTTTTTTTGCTGGGGTATTGACGAATCTCCTTGCGGCTACATTGCGGCCGGTATCCTCTCCGAAATGACAGGGCTCGCGGGTTTGGAACGCGCCCTGTCGCGCCTCGGGCCGTTCATCGGTCCATACCCCGCTGGTCATTGCTGGTCATCCACATGTGTACGAGGCGAGGCACATGTCGTATCTCGAGTCCAATATTGACCCGACGGCAGGGCAAACACGAGTTCTAGCAGGTCCAGCGCGCCTCCACTCTTCCGTCTGCGTCGCTCCGCCGCGGCCCTCGCGCGGGAGAGACGGAGACGGCGAGAGAGTCGGTAAAAAGAGAGGAAGCGCTTGTCTGCCGCTTATCCTGCCTGTTCAAAACAGACCGGACCGACCGGACCCCGACCGGCGGTGTCGCTGCCTGCCGCGCTGCCGCGCACCGCGCACCCCGAGCTGAGCTGCGTGTTCCACCGACAGTCCGACAGTCAAATGGCGCTCTGCCTGTTCAAAACAGACCGGACCCCGACCGGCGGTGTCGTTGCCTCCGCGCGCCGCGCACCCCGAGCTGAGCTGCGTGTTCCACCGACAGTCAAATGGCGCTCTGCCTGTTCAAAACAGACCGGACCCCGACCGGCGGTGTCGTTGCCTCCGCGCGCCGCGCACCCCGAGCTGAGCTGCAATGTTCCTTGGACGACCGACAGTCCGACAGTCAAATAGCGCCCTGGCTGACCCTCCTCACGCGGGTGGGGGGCAAACGCGTCCCCGGTGTCGCCTGCATGCTGCTGCTGAGCGCCCCGCTGCTTTCGCATCCCCCACACCCCCGCAACCCTCGAGCGCAACATTTTTTCCAATCCGCACGTCGCTGTGAAGCTGCTTCGAACGGATGCGTGAATGGCCCGCACATGTTTATGCGTTCCTTGACCATGAGAATGGGTTTCGGGAAGTACCCACCCCCCCGGCCGTGTGGACGCACGGCGACGCACAGCGGGGGCCCTGCAGGCCGTGCAGGCCGTGACTGTGGACATGACCGGTTCCGAAGACTGGCCGCTTCGTCGGCCTGTCCCCCTCGCACCCCTAGGAACGCCCCGTGAGTGCGACAGAGGCGGGGCCGACACTTCGGAATCAGTCGGCAGGGGCGGGGCGGCTCGCAGAGGGCCTCACACATCCGCATCCCTTCCCTTCCAGGTCCAGGGCACACTCACACACAGACGGAGCGCGCGCGTTTCCAGAAAAGCAGAAAAACATTATGGCCCATAAAACGCAGGACAAACGCGGTGCTGTCCGGTGGCGACCCCCCCCCCCCCACCCGGGCCGTCGACAAAGAGCGATCGGCCACGGTGCTGATGGGTTGCGTGGAGGTAGGCGACAAGGTGTGGCGGAGTGGCGGCCGACCGGCGTCGTCCAGAAGGGGTGCCGTGCCGTGCGGTAATCCGGCAGTCGGCTACTCCTTTCGGGGTTCCTTGTGTTTGTCTGGAACGGGTGGAATGGATGGGAAAAGGGGGGAAATGACAGAAACACGCGAGCGCGGCCGAGCGGGGACAGCCGTAACGGACGCGCGATTGTTTGGCGCGCGTTTTGATTTGACTAAAACCGCCGGGAAGTGACCTGAACAGCGACGCCACACGTTCCTGGAAGTGCCCCTCTCTGGACAACGCCATGCAGGGCGTGGGCGCGGACGTCCGCGAGGTAAGGCATTCTGCCTTTTCACGGCTTCCATAATAGCGCGCATAAGTCTCCGGAGGCGAGGCTGGCGAGGTGGATCTTGACCTCCACATCGCTTCCTTTTCACTTGAAGCGGACGACGCGACGCCTCGCCTTTGTGGCCCCCTCCCCCCCCCCTGCCGCCCTTGCTCCAAATACATATGAGAGTTGCACAGTGCTGACCCCCACTGCGCGCGCTGTCCTGCCGCCTTCCCGGAACGGGGCGGGGGTGGAACCTAACCTCACCTAACCTCACCTAACCTACTCATTTGCATGGGCTTGCCTCGCCTCATTGCCTGCGGCTGCGGCCCCTGCGGCCCCGGAAGGAATGAATGGGACGTCGCTGACGTCCTTGTCGACGTCCTTGACGTCACGTCGCCGCGGAGGTCACTGAAGTTAGTCACAGCCTGGCCGCCACGTGGGCCGAGGAGGCCGAGGAGGACACTTCGGCGGACAGCCGAATTACCAGGAATGAGGTCGGGCCAGCCGATGGCCAGCCGAGGTCGCATGCTAATCATTTATGGGAAATGGCACGCTTTCTTAGCTTTCGTGAGTGTGAAGGCCAAGAAAAAGCAGCTAAATCAACCAGAAATAACAAGTAAAATGAAGAGATCATTGAACAAAAACTTGGGCACGTTGTGGTGGTTTGAGTTTGGCGCCGTTTTTGTCCCCAGCCTTCCTCTTTCCTTTTTCTCCTCCGTGATTAAGGACTTGTTTATTAGAGATGCTACGGAGCGAATTATTCTCGAAGAGAGAAGGGGCCGTAATGAAAGTTAAGTTTGAGGGGCCGGGTCGGCCGGGCGGCGCGGCCGAGAGGAAGGTGCTCCAACAGGCCGTGATAAATGAAAATTAGCATCCAAATTAATGAAACTAGAAAGAGCCGAGCGGCGCCGCTAAAGTAAACGAAACAAAACGCATCAACGCTTCGTCCGCTCGTGACGTCATTTTCGCCAGAGAAATGCAGAAGTGTTTCGACGTTGTCACCTTTAACGAGTCATACCCTGCAGTTGCCTAGCCTAGCATAATTATTAAAGGGCAAATTAAGAGGGGCCTATCAAATGAATGAATGAATGAATGAATGAATGAATGAATGAATGAATGAATGAATGAATGAATGAATGAATGAATGAATGAATGAATGAATGAATGAATGAATGAATGAATGAGGTAATTCATTCGAACAACAATTTTATGATTTTGGCCATTTTCTGGCCATTTTCTGTGCCGTTACTGCAAAGTCCCGCAGGCGTTGCCAGGCGTTGCCTAGATAACTTCCCTCTCGAATCCCCGCAGGGTGCCGCTCGGGGTGCCGCTGGGCCACGCCACCCGCCCCCCGGCCGGCCGGCCGGTGCACCCTGCCATGCCTGCCATGGCCAACCCGGTCAGTTGCACATTCACAATGTCCCATTGTGCGCTTTCCGTAAGTTTGGATTCTAGCGTGTGTGCGAGAGAGACGGAGCGAGGGGCGGCCGGGCTGACGGAGATCATAATGACTGGGTCACCCGCTCATCGGCCGAACAATACTCCGGAGCACACAACCCTTATTACCGAAACCCGGAGTAGCGCGGTCGTCCACATTGTCTGGCTTTCCCTTTCGGTCTGTTTTTATCGGCCGAAATCACTCTCGGCGCCGCCAGTCCCGTG